ATTTTCATTCAAAAACGCAGTTGCTATTTAAAAAAATATACTAAAACATGTGACGGAATGACACAAAAAAAAGTTACTTTTATTTAATATATTAAACTTAAAATGACTTAAAGGCTATGTTTTAAATGTTTAAATTTTGTACTATATGCATATTTTTATCAAAATATTGCAAAAGAAAGATACATTTCTTTTATTTTATAAGTATTTTTCAAGAAAACAATTTGAGCACAAATGTGAAGAACTCACTTGTCAGCCATGTGATTACTTTAGAATGCTGCTAGATTCAAAAAACTTAAAATTATCAAAAATTAAACAATAATATGTAGACTTTGGCTATTTTTGAACATATTTTTAAAATTAAAATATGCAATTCATAAAAAAAATTTCACTTAAAAGTTGACACTTTCGTGAAATTGCCCTATAGGTAATTCAAAAAAAAAATTTTTTTGAAATATTAGTAGAAAAAAATTATCAGTATATTTACTAAAATACTGACTATTTAATAAATATAATAAAACCTAATACTAATAATATCTAATACTAATAAAAATAAATTATTAAACTAACACTTTCTTAATGTTGCAAAATATTATTTTTAAGTTTTACTTGAAAATAAAAAATGTTTGATACATGCTGCACCATTTATACAATTTAAGAGAAATGAATATTTAAAAATAATTTGTTTAAGTGGCAAAAAGAGTGTGTGAGCTTATGATGCATTTTTTAGCAGGGGAAAGAAACAGCACTACAAAAATTGGCCTGAAAATAAGAAAAATTGTCATCATTATTTTTCTATGAGATTAATTTAACACTGAGTTGTAAGAACATTTGCAATTGCTTGAATTTCATTTCTTAAGAAAACACATTTATCACAAAATCCTGAGTTTATAGTAACTATTTATATCTTTTTACTAGTAATTTGTGATATAAATATTTTTCTGTTTGAAACAAAACAATTTTGTAATATTCCCATGGAAGACATAAACAAATTATACTGAAAAAAGTTCTTTAAATTGCAAATCAAAATCAAATACTAAAAAAGAAGCTTTGTTTTTTTGAAAATCTAGAAATAAGAACTTTTTAGAAATTCAACTTTTTAGAATGATTTGATTGAATTTTGTAATTTTCAATTTTTGAATAATTTAAAAATAACATTACAGTACAGAACCCGTTATCAGAATTATACAGATTATACAGAATCAGAAAACCGGAAAACTAAAAAACCGGAACAAAATTCGATAAATTTTCCCGCCATTTAAAAAATAAAATAAAAAAATCCTCACAAGATTTTTCTTCTTTTTTTTAAAGATGTTTACCTTACCATCATTAAGGAAATAATCATTAGTGTATTACTTCATCGTTTATTCTTCTTCTAAACTGAACTAAACAAAAACAATTCTAAACTGAAAAATTTCTACAACAGATATCACACTAAATTTGCCTACGTTAAAAAAAGAACTTAAAACCATAGTAGATATAATTTTTAAATATCAAATGCTAAAAATAATTTTTGCAATAAAATTATAATATAAGAATATATGACTTTTGATTTTTTTCAAAATTTTAAAATGACTATATATAAACTATGTCTTACTAATTCTAATGCCATGTATGGTGCAACTATCAAAAATAGCACTTTTCCATAACAATTCTCTCAATTTCCAATCATAAATTTGAATTTCATTGCTTTCAGCTAAAATGATAATAAAAAGATTATAAAGATGCATTAATCATATTCAAATATGAGAGTTAACTCTTACAAATATGTATATCAAATTTAACATTATTAACATACACGAACTTAACATATAGGACCAGGAAATCTGTTAATGTGTCTGCTTACTAGTAACTCAACAAATGCATTGACTTTTCCTGCAGTTTGTAAACATTCCAGAATTGTGTAAATGTTTTATTTCAAATAACATTTTCACAAATAACTTTTAAATGGCTGTGGTGATTTTTTTTTCCTTCTAGATTCTTATTTTCTTTTTTTGATTCTTATCTCTTTGATTCATTTGATTCTAATCTTTTGATTCTTCTCTCTAGATTCTTATTTTCTTATTTGCTTTATTTGCTTTACAATATTTTAAATTTTCCAATATTAAATTATTTTCTTGCAATATTTGAAAAACATATTTTGTATCATTTAAAGCACTCTATTGCGAATCAGCATTGTTCAGACAAATTATCTTTTAATTTTTTTTAAATAAAAGCAGACAAAGACTTGTGGGTAAGGAAACTAGGGAGGAGTCTAGAAAGTAATAAATTGAGCCTATAATTTGATAAACTAATTCAAACCTTCCTAACAGGGTTGCCAAGGTTTAGGACAGAATGGATTAATCCATGGTTTAAACCGTCCTATCCAAAACCCTTTTACTCAAATTATGTCACAATTTTATCTGAACAATATTTAAGAGGTAAAATAAACATAGAACTAATAACATATTGATAATTAAATTTACTACAGAATATTTGTTTTTAAAAGTATAATGCTTTATTAATATTGTTTGACTCTTCAAATTAAACATTAAACAAAGGAAGATTAATCAGTAATCAAGTTCAATTGGTCCTCTCATTCAATAGTACATAACTGAAGTTGGACCTTGCCATACAGGTTAAGTTATTAGGGACTAAGTGCTTGGTTAGTCATAAACAGGTTTATTTACCTATAGTACTATTCAAGAATACTGTTATTTCATTCATGTTCAATTCTTTTAGCATAGTGGTGATACATCACCAGTGTCAATAACTGAAACTGATGTTATGCCCTTCAAAACTGTTGATACATTTTTCAGTTATTTTGTATTTTCAATTTAAACTAATATATTTATATTTAAAAGCAATTTTTTTAAAAAATAGATGTCTTTTTTTATCATCCTGTGATGCAGAAATTATAAAATTTTTTAAAAAAAATATTGTGAAAAATAAAAGGTTAATTTTTAAACAAATTTAGTATTTTTTAAAAAAAAATTTTTGTTTTTTAATATTGCATTATTTATCCTTATGCAAAAATATTATTTATCAGTATTAAAAGCATATTTATATTTAAAGGATTAGGTATTCACTTTTGTTGTTCAATGAATTATGGAGGTTCAAAAATTATAAACCTTTTCCTATTATATTATATTATTTTGATAAGTTAAAGTAAATTGTATAAAAAATATCAAATATTTATTGATACATGTAATTATTATGCGTACAATGGTTACACCTATAGAATTTTTACCTTTTACCAAAGTTCAAGGTTTTGGACAGTAAAACCCACGTGTCCTGCCCAAAACCAGTTAATGACGTCCAAAACGCCAACCCTGCTTCCAAAGCATTTGAAATACAATTTTATAAAAATATATATATATATACATAAAAAACTATATTTAGCAACTTTTCTTTAATTTTGTGTTATAAGCATTTATAGTAATAAGCATTTAAATGCTTGGAAACAGGTGCGGTGAACACTATATAAAGCTTTCTAACTCACTTTGGAACAAAAGAGCAAATTTATTTCTTTGTTTTATTTCAAAATAAAGGAGGTGTAAATATTGAAACAGTATTAAACCTTTGATAACATAAAGTTTTTATTTTAATCAAATAAATCAAAAATATATGCACATATTTTACATAATCTATGTATGCATATAGTACTTAAAATAATGGATAAACAGCAAAGCTGTTGAAGGTAGCAAAGACAATGTGGAACTACAAAATATAGAATTCATGAAGGCAGAAGTCAACATGAAGCCCTGAAATGTGAATAAGTAAAGACAGATTGGACTTAAAAGACTGAATGCCATATAATTATTTAATTCACTATCTGAGAGTAAAGAGGACAAACAAAGCAGCTAGTCCATGCACATTTTTATTCCCTCATATTTGCACTTAACTTATGTATTGCCATAGATTTAGCTAAAAGCTGCTGATTCCAGCAGAGTCAATAAGGTACCATGAATTCATGAAGATACCTTCATGTCATGCCCACATTAAATTACAAAGATAAAAGTTTAAATAGTTAGCTATTTTAGGTATACTTAATACAAAACATTTTTGATATAAAATGTAACTATAGCTCTTTACTTGCCTACAAACAAGAAGTTTTTAAAGAGTTTCAGAGCAGTAATATGGGTACAAAGCGAGATTCGTTGAAACCCATCAGACCAATCAGAAATGTTTGACTCCATGAATTCAGTTGTAGCAGATCAATTTAGCATAATGATTTCCAGGTCTAAAAATTAACGAAAAATAATCACTATAATGTATACAAAAAGTAAAAATACAAATAAAAGTAGTATACTGTTTAAAATAAATTTAAAAAAATAGTAGTACCATTTAGAGTTTAGTAAAAAGTAAAGTTGTAAAGCAAAAATAATAAAAATAGCAATTAGTAAATATAAAAGTAAAGTAAATAAATGATTTTAACTCAAAATTGTTTTAATATCGCTATTCAAATTTAAAAGAACTAAAAGCAAGCTATATTTATATATATCAGGGTCATACATAAAGAAGTATGCAGTTTCAATGCAGTATAAATCAAAAATAATCATCATCATATCTGGCTAGACAGCCCAGGGTGGGTCAGTGCCTTCCTTTGAATTCGAATCCACTTCTCTCTACTTTTGACACTTGTTCGTCAGTTTTTCTCCTTTAGAGTAAGGAAATCAGTGTCAACTAAATCCAGCCATCTCAGCCTGGGTTTACCTCTTTTCCTGATCGTTAGGGGTTTGTGTAATAGGATTTTCTTTAAATTTGAGTCATCATTCCTTCTGAAATTGTGAGCTGCCCAGTTCATTTGATTCATTTTTATGAATTTCACAATATCTGGCTCTCTATAGATTTTATACAGTTCAGTATTATATCGTCTTCTCCAGGAATTATTTATTTTTATCCCACCAAGGATGGCCCTCAAAACTTTTCTCTCAAAAATGGCAATTTTATTTTCACTAGCTTAAGTTAGGTTCCAGGTCTCAGAGCCATAGATAAGCAGATGGTGAAGCAGTAAATGACTATTGGCCTAATTAATGTATTATAAAGTAAAAGTTTTGTATTTTTTGATAAAAGAGAGGAGTTGAAAAAATGCTTTAAACCATAAAAAGCTTTATTTGAACAATTTAGACGACTCCGAATCTCATTGTCTATGTCATTGTCGGCAGTAACTATTGAACCAAGGTAAGTAAAATTCTGAACAGTCTGAAACCTGTGGGAACCAATCTCCAGATAGGATTCACTAGAATTTAATTTAGCAAGTACAGGCATGTATTTGGTCTTATCGGTATTAATGATTAGTCCCATATACCTAGCAGCAAGCTCCAAAGAAAGGAAAGCTTCTTTTAACGCAGGAACAGTTCTCGCAATGATGTCTAAATCATCCGCATACACCAATATTTGAATAGATTTTGAAAATATGTTGCCTCTGATATTGATTTCAGCATCTCTTATAACTTTCTCTAAAGCAACATTAAAAAGAGGACAGGATAAGGAGTCTCCCTGTCTGACTCCATTATTTAGTAAGTAAATAAATCAAAAATAGCATTAGATATTAGATATTACCTGCAACAGAAATGTATGGGATTATTTTAAGCTTTGCTAGAGACAATCGCAGGTGTTCTATGAGTGCAGTGAGTCCTTAATTACACGCGCTACGCCATCTCCATGTCTGACACATATAGAACCGGTTAACTATTTATGCAAATATGTGTGCTAAAGTAACTGAATCAAGTTCATTGATAGTGAGTAGAATACACTGCTTCAGCCCTGCTAAAAGTTGCTTACATCTCATAAGAATAGATCGCAAGGTGTTAGATCAAGATATCTTCGTGGTCTTTGGGTAAGTAGAATTTTGTAGTCCGCCACTTGTCCAATCCATTAGAGAGGGAGATATTCATCGAGATAATCTCACACGTGGGCTGATGTGTGTAGAGGTGCACCATCCAATTGGAGAATGAAGCCATCATTGTCATTATACAAATGTGGTATCAACCAAAGAGTTAACATATTCAAAAACGTGGCTCAAGTGAGAGTTTGCTCTTGAAAAAGGGGCACAATACTGTCTTTCTGGACACTGCATAGGACACATTTACCTTCGGGGAATCTTGCCCACGTTGCTCTGAAAATTTGAGATTCTAAAAAAGATGTTCTCCAAAAAGACAATATTTTCTTGTTTACCCTGACATACAATATTGTTTCATGGGTGAAAATTAAGTGATTGGCAAAATCATTATTTTTAACCACCTTTGGGCAGAAATGGATTAGTGTTTTGATGTGTGTCATGAGACTAAAGGGTCACACATAGAACGCCTCTAATAAAACTTATCATGATTTCAAGCAATTCTGTTGCAAGAAACATACAGATCTTACATGTTAATATATAGTGCGTTAACATTGTATACTTCTTTATGATTCACCTTGAGTATATATTGATAACAATTTCTCCTTTTTTATTTAAAAATATATTGCTGTATCATATGAATAATACGACTTCTAACATAAGTAGAAACGAGAGAGGGGGGATTAACACTTTAACTTTAGACAAAGTTTGCTGTGGATATCAATTAAAGAATTTAATTTTGTTGTTGTTGTTGTTGTTAATTTACGTCGCACTAGAGCTGCACAATGGGCTATTGGCGACGGTCTGGGAAACATCCCGGAGGATGATCCGAAGACATGCCATCACAATTTTGATCCTCTGCGGAGGGGATGACACCCCCGCTTCGGTAGCCCGACGACCTGCGCGCGAAGTCGAGCACTTTACGGCAGCACAGTTTAACGAGGACCAATACCGCACACCCTCGGTCCCTACGCAGACTGATCCAAGTGGTCACCCACCCGCACACTGACCGTAGCCAGTGATGCTTGACTTCGGTGATCTGCTGGGAACCGTGTCTTAATGATCAGTCCACTGTGGGACAATTTAATTTTGAATATATGCACTTTATGAAACATTGTTGAATTTTTAAGAATTAGTAAGATACGAAATCAAGTAAATTTAAAAATAAAAAGTAGTAAAAAATGAGTGTTATACCTAAATCTGTAAGAAATGCTAAAAGAGTGTCTAGGAAGATTGCATGCTTGTTTACTCTTCTTACTCGTTGCTAAGCATGTTGATATCATTTCATCAATATTGATATACACTTCATCAATATTGGTATCGTTCGTGTTCAAGGGATGAAAACCAAATGAAAATATTTTCAAAAAAAGAAAAAAATTATTTTATTTGTTCACAAATAAACTCCATTTGTTTAATTTTCGATTTACTGAAATTATCTATTAGCTTTCCTGAAAAACTAACTGCAACCGCAACTTTCTATTCTACTTGTTTGTTTATTTTGACTGGCTCGTTGGTTGATGAACTATTAGCAATCAAAGAGAATTTTATGCATTTTATTCTAGTTATATTACATTTAAATTTTCTTCGAATTTATTATTAGTGTTTTTACGGTTCGGCTATATTAAATAAGTTTCCAAAATGTCTCTTATGTCAGAAGAACGACGTAAAGAGATGGAAGAAGAGATGAATCGGTAATAAATGTTTATTCATTTGGAATATATTTCTAGATATCAGTTTAAATGTTTTAAGTTTTGCCCACATTAATATTTCGTATCAAATTCTTTAACTTATACTACTTACGATTGTTTATTGTTGTTGAAAACTTAGTAAATTATGCTTTATTCTCATGTTGTCTTTAAGTTACTACTGCTATTTTAACTAGTTTTTTTGGTCAGTTATTTTTTTTCCCTTTAAGAATGATGTTATACGAAAAATTATAAGTTAATATTGAAATTATTTATTTTCAACTGATTCAAAATGTACAAACAACGAGCAATGCTCGTCAACAATTGATTAAAAGTTTGTATGATGATAGCGGTAACAGAAATTATGATCTTTCAGTTCAGTTTCAAAAAAAAAAATTTGTTAATGTCTTTTTAAAGAGCAAAATATGTTAAGAAATCGACTTTAAGGAGTAAATTCTTTACTATGCCCATTTAAAACTATTATTGTATCATTTTAAAATTAATCTAAGTAACCTGACTACTAACAAAAAATTTTTAAAAACTTGAACCATTAAGTACTGTTGGCCGAAACTAAATTGTCATTTAGTTTGAATGTGAAACAGTTCTTCTCTTGCTTGCATAATTACTTTGGTATTTTATGTTTCAAAAATATTCTGAGAAAATTTAATGTGTACATATTCATTTCAACTAATATAAAACTTTATATTTAGTATTATTATTTTAAAAGATTCTATAAACAGAATATCCTGTTTCAAAGGGTTCTATTTACAAAAAACTCAATTTCAGGAAGCTCTATTTATTGCACATTCCATTCATCAAAGCCTTGGTTTTGTGCTGATTTCTATTTGTGTTGAAATATGCGAAAAAAAGCTTTTAAATTTCTAATTACTATGTATTACCACAAATTTCATTCGCTTTTTTTTTTTTTTAAATCTTTAGATTTGAGCTTGAGATTGCTGGACCTGGCGAAACTAAAGCCTCTTCAACTGCTCCATCTTCAAAAAACAGCAAACCGTTGTCTCCCCCTCCGGCTCCTCCTTCAGTATCAGTTCTAATTCCTGATGGTATGTGAATCCTACTTTATGAACATTTTAGTTTCATAAACATCTATAATTTATTTTTTAATCATCTAGAACGATAGTCCTCAAACTGGTAGTACCAAGCTGCTCTAGGAACATTAAATTATTTCCATTTTATTTACTATTGTGTGTTTCTTGCGGGTCTCTGCGACTTTCTATGGACGAGAGATGAAACTTAAGAGATTAACTGGGACCTGAGATAAAACTTAACCTAAGAGAAATTGAGATCTGTCACTTAAAGCTACAACTCCACAAGCCGTACTATTAGACCTATGTAATTGTATTTTGTTTTGAAGGCATGTTTAAATACAATTAAAATAAAATTATTAAATAAAACCCATCTAAAATATAAACAATCAATGTCTGCCCCCCCCCCTAAAATTATCACATATAAATATTATCAAATATATTACTGCGGGGATAAAAATTTTAGAGAGCATTGATCTAGAATAATTTAAGTTTAAAAATACCAGCATGACATGTAACTATCTAAAAATTCAGTGCCATGGCAATTTTTTTTTTCATATAAATATGCGTATAATCTAAGAAATTACAGTAAAAGGCAAAAATTAATTTTTGAAAGTTATTTTGAACAATTTTTATCCGAAAAAGGTGATCTACTATAAATACAGTTAAGATTTAAAAATATAAAAACAATAGTTTTTAGTATTTATGATTTGTAAGTTAAGTTATTTCTTAAGAAAAAATTAATATTTTGTCATAGACTCTTTCGAAACTTTTGGAAAGTCATCTGTTTTATAATTTCAGAACAAGATGAAGGTAAGTTTTATTCTTCATAAAAATTTGGTTTTTCTTAATGAGTAACAAATTTGTTTAAAAATTTTAAATCTACTTCTTTAAGTTTTTTATACTACTTTAAAGATCTTTTAAATATGCAATATAAAATATGATTTGGCTAGTAGATAATGCTAGATCATAGAACGAGTAGATAAAGTTAGTAATAGAACGAGTTAATCATTATTATGTATAATAAACACATTTATCATTATGATGTATAATAACAGATTTATTATTTTTTTCATGAGTAGCAAATTCAGCTCTTAAAAATTTTTTATATATTTCTTCAATTATTTTATGTTAAATATTTTTGAAATATGCAATATAAAATATGATTTGGCAAGTTAATAATGTTAGATCAAAAGCTATAGAATATGTTTATTATTATTAAGTATAATAATGCTTAAAAGATGCTTGTTGAAACTTTGAAAAAAAAATTTTGAACAAATAAAGTTCTGAAAATTCAAAACTTAAAGTCTATGTTTGACAAAAAAATTTGCTAGTATTTTAATTTTGCTACTAAGGAAAACCAAAATGAATTTAATTTCAAATTTCTCTGCTATAATATAGACAAAAAATATCTAGTACTTTATTTTTCTTAAATAATTGAATTGCATTCACAATCATCAACCCTTATCATTATATTTCTGAATTAAGGTCTTTCCCAAAATTGTAGTTACATTTATTCAATCTCCAAGTCTGAAAAATTAAGCAAAGCAAGTTGGTTAAAAGTTGAGATTTTGCTAATAACTCTATATAAATTAACATGCATATTAATTTTGTTGCAGATAAAAAGCATGGTAAATTTTATTTCAATTCTTATTATTTAACTCTAAAAAATTATGAATGAAATTTTTCAAAATTAAAATTATTTTTAAAAATACATTTACAATTACATGAGAGAGATGTAAATTATGCCTAATACAGATAGGGAATGCATTTATTTACTATACATATTGGTTAGCCATTATCAAATTGCAAATGTTTGTTCTACTTTAATTTTGTTGCAGATAAAGAGGAAGGTAAATTTTATTTTATATCCTTCTATTGATGTAGGTATATAATTAGATAATAATTTTAAAAAAAAGAAAAATTTTCAACACAGATGAAGAACTTTAAATTTCAATCGAAAGCACTATCAAAATCTGTCTAGTCTCAATTGAGGAAAGTGGACATCAAAATTTGTTTGTTTGTTTGATTTTCTGCATGTGAAAAAAACATTTTCTGAAAAACCTTAAAAATAAAGCAATTGCTTTTTACTTCTTTAATATTGCCCTTTTTGTTACTTGTAAAGAAAGTGTTTTTTCAGTTTATAATTTTTAGCCGGGTTTACTGCTGATTAATTAAACCAGTTGGCTACTGCCAACTATGCAAAATTGCAGCTATATATGTCGAAAGTAGTATGTTAACCAGATATCTCTTGCATCCTGACATATTGTTATTCCTCTGAATGGTTACTAAAAATTTTCATTTTAGTGAATAAAGAGTTAGAGAAAGAAAAAAAAATCAACTGAATTGTCAACTAAACTTGCAATTGTCAACTGAAAATTTTGAATTTAATAAAGCAACATTTGTCATTAGCAGAATAAAAAATTAGAATTTTTTTGTTCGCAGAATTTCTCAGGCTTCAACATAATGCTATAAATTTTAACTACGAAGTAGGCTGAGTGTAAATAATCGATGTAATAATTATAAAACATTTAAAAAAATGCTACTGAAACCAATTAAAGATGCTTGATAAGGTCTAATAAATTTAAATCAAAATAATTTCTTACTTAGTTGGAGTTAAGTCTGGTCCAGCTCTATAATGTTTCATGTTTTTAGAAGCTTATTAATTTTAAGAGGTAAAGAAATGGCATTACTCTTTAAAAAATAATAATTTTATAACTTATTTATTTAAAATTCTACTACTATGTATTTATGTATTAAAAATATGGTTCTCTCCTATGTCCTGTTTAACAAACTGAATTACCTAAAAAAAAATATTGTGATCTATTTAATTTCAGATGACAACCAAAGTAAGTAAATATTAAGAGAGATTTAATTTCAATTCCCAATGAATCCAATAGATTTGTTTTTGCATCAGTAATTTTCAAATACATTTTAAATGTTTGTTTAATAATTTTTATTCATTATTAAATTCTAACAATTTTTTGTTGTTTGAATCATATATTTTCTTAAGAATTATTTTGGCTTTGTATTTCTTAAAATTGCTATATTTTTTAAACAAAAATTATTCACTTAATTTGTTATTGTTAAGGAAAATAATAATGTAAGTTATATACAATTTCTAGCAGAACTCTTTGAGTTTATACTGAAGATTCAACAAATAAATTTGATGTTGTCATAATAAGAATCATTATAGATTGATTCTCATATCTTACTGTGATATCCTAAAAAATTGCTAAATTGTTAAAAGTCATTATTTGTTTTTTTATTATCTATAATTAAGATATGTAATATTTATAATGTTTCAGCTTTAATTAAAGCTCCTCCGCCTCCACCGCCACCACTATCTCCTCCTTCTTCCACCACTCCTACTATGTTAAGACCACCGCCTCCACCTCCTTCTCTTCAAGGTCCACCTCCTGCATCTCCGCAATCTCCTGCTTCTGTACGATTTATTCCTCACCAATTGCAAAGACAACCTCCTAAACCTCCTTTACGCCCAAATTACATGTCAATGAGTGGACCTCCAGGTCCCTTTCCACCCCCTGGTCCTTTTGGTCCACAACATCAAGCACCCCCTATGTCATCTATGCCACCAATGGGTCATATGTCTATGGGACATATGCCCCCTATGGGCCATGTTCCAACAGGACCTCCAATGCCACCCATGCATGGACCTATGCATCCAATGTCACATGGAGTTATGCCAATGCATATGCCTCATCAAATGGGTATGGGCCTTCCAATGCCCCCTGGATTCTGTCCTCCTTCAGCATTACCAATGAATATGACAGGAGATTCAAACGAGCAACAATATTTTAACCCGAATAATTCAGCTCAAGGTGACGATATTGATGTATCTGCTTCGGATGCGCCATCTTCAACTAGTGAATCTTCATCAGTTGTAGAAGCCTCTCCTGCTATTTATGCTGCCCCTTTTGTTAAAACTCTTTCAGAAAATGCATCTGCAACTGTCTCAAGTACAAATGGACAGATTACTACTACTACAGTTAGTACTTCAGCTAATGTTTCTAACTTTCAAAAAGTCAATAAATCATTTCCAACTAAAACCGAAGACTCTACTGTTGGGCCAAATGTGCCAACTTCTACATCAAATGAAGAAACTGTTGTTAGTAAAAAGAAAGAGAAGAAAAAGAAAATTGTTCGTATGGCTGGAGGTCAAGCATGGGAAGACAATTCGCTTCTTGACTGGGAGACAGGTAAAACTATATATTAATTTAATATACTGTTGAACTCTGTTATTTCAAAAATTATCAATAGTGAAAATTCATTTGTAATAACTAATACTCATATTACATAATAATTAAATCTTTAATTAATAATTATTTATTATCTCCTCATAACTATTTTTGCATTAAATGAGTTCTACTTGTTTTTGAATATTTGACCATAATGGTTAATAACATAATAAAATAGTTATTTATTTTAACAATTGTTTATTATGTGTTTTTTTAACTAAGATAGTTTCAGAATTATTCTATTTATGGAAATTTTAATTAGTAAAAAAGATGTACTACTTGCTTTGCGTATATATTGAATAGTAATTTGAATTAGAATTGAGTAGTGTATGGGATTCTTCAAAGAATATGCTTGATTAAATCCCACAATACTGGTCTTATTTTATCTGGGTAGCTATTCTAAAATATTATTTGTCTAATTCAGTTTATTACTATACCTAATAAATAAGAATTTAGTCCTTATTTTCAAGAAAAATAATAAAAATCTTTACTTGGAGCAAAAATTAAAAATAAATAAATGAATTTAACAATAAGGCTAAGATAAATCCTACATTTTAAATTAAATGTTTATTAGTCAGTTACTTTTAAAACTATGTTATGCACCAATTGAAATGTAGTTTAAATGTATTTTCTTTCAACTTTTCATAGTATTTATGATTAAAGATTACTGAAAAAAATCTTTTATAAGAACTTCTTAAAGCTAAAAACATGTCCATCAAAATATTTAAAGACGAAGTGATTTTTCAATATTGAAGCAAAACAATATTATATTAATTCAAAATTTCATACATATTTATCTACCCTAAGTTTTGAAAGTAGGGTTATTTATGTTTTTGTATTATTATTGATAAGTGAAATAAGAAATAACTATTGATATAAGGAAGGAAAAATTTTGATTATGTTTAAAAAGATTCACTTGAGTCTGGATTTTATTAAGTTAAAAAAAAAATTGGAGGGGGGGTTGGGAATGGGTCAAAACCAGGGTTGGCAAGATTTTGCCGCAGGTTGAAAAAACCATGGTAAATACCGGTAAAAACCGTCCTGGCGAAAACCTATATTTTCCAAGATGATATGACAAAAACACATTTTTGATACAAAATTATTCCTAAAATTGAAATATATACTATGAATATAAATAATTACAAAAATATTAACAAAATTGTTATTCCATAATTAAATCATAATGTAATAATATATCATTTTAGTAGTTTAAAACATTATTGATTGGAAAATTTGTGATTATTCTCTTTTTTCCAGACTTTTCCGACTTTCTCTTTTTACCCATGCTTCTGACTTACCTATCTTTTACTTTAACTTTATGGGAGTTCATTGCATAAAATATAGTATTTTAAACTATGCTCCTTCACTTAGCACACCTATTTTTCACACGGTAAAGATGCATTGGAGTAAATTTTCCAAAATTTATGAAATAGCTAAAGGGTTATAAAATATTGCATTCATAATTAAAGTTTTAAGTTATATTTTCCTTTAATTACAATTTATTTTACCATAACTTGTATTTAGGTCTACCAAAAGATGTCAGCTTTTAAAATATTCATGAAACCTTCAAAGAGTTGGATAATAATTTATTTTTGCTTGTATAAAAAATTATTATGTAATATACGTTATTTATTTATAAACAAATAATTGTTTTTTTTTTTTAATTTAACTTTTCAGATGATTTTAGAATTTTTTGTGGTGATCTTGGAAATGATGTAACTGATGAAGTTTTGATTAGAGCTTTTAGTAAGTATCCATCATTTGGTAAAGCCAAAGTCATTAGAGATAAAAGAACAAATAAAACTAAAGGATATGGATTTGTAAGCTTTAAAGATCCTCAAGATTTCATTAAAGCAATGAGAGAAATGAATGGTAAGATTCTTATTTTATTAATAAGTTTTCATTGCAGGTTCTCTGTTGTCTATTAATTTTGCAACTAAATTGTGAAAAATAGTAAAAAGATCTGAAAATATATGTATTTTTTTTATCTATGTGCATATTAATTTATTGGTTTTGTGTATTTTTATTGGGAAGCTGCAATTTTGTTGAAACAGGATTTTTTTTAATTTTTTTTATGTGTACCAGTTTTTGATGGTTTTATAATGGATGAAACTGTTATATTAAAGAGTTATGATTAGTCTAATAATTATCGTCAAAATCCTAAAGCATTGCTCTTATGCATTGATGTAAACATTGTTTCATATACTTTAATTGACACATTGTATGTGTAGTTAAGATAGAGTATAAATCTTATTTTTCTTACCTTTAGCAAATATGGGCCTTTGCCCTCATTTCTTATGTAAAAAGGCATTATAAGCAATGAAGTTGTTATTTACTATCCACTCAAAAATTACATTGTGAAACTTTAAAGTTTTAAAAGTTGGTTACTAAAAGTTCTGATTCCTTTAATTTTTTTTTTAAATTATTTTTTCATTAAAATTTATATTTTTAAATCTTTTTTTATCTACAATTCTATTTATCAATTAATCCTATGTTAGAATTTGGATTTTATGTAGTTGTAATTTCAAATTTGTTTAAAATAAACTTGCAAATCATAACAAAATATTTCATCCTTGAGAGGATAAAACTCTCCTACAAAATAAATAAACTTGCAAATCATCACAAAACATTTCATCCTTGAGAGGATAAAACTCTCCTATAAAATAAATAAACTTGCAAATCATAACAAAACATTTCATCCTTGAGAAGATAAAACTCTCCTATAAAATAAAACTGTAAAAGAAAATACTAATATAAACTAAAGATTTTCTTTTGCTCAACAACTAGAGGGTGATTCAGCATAGCAGTTACAAACTTAGACGGTAGATAGGGCGCGTCATAAGGAGTTGCATAGCGACTCGGGGCCCGAAACATTGTGTGCATCTGGGTGAGCTTTTCTGTTAAGGACTGACCTGTTCTTGCACATTTTAACAATTAATTTGTTTTATTTTAATTTTATGTTAATTTCATGTTTACTAATAATTATTGTCGAAGCCACCAATTCAATTTATTTAATTTAAAATAATTTCCTTTAAGAAATGATAACAATCTTTCTTTTTTTTATCTTTTTTTCTATGATTAATAGAGGGCTTTTTAAAAATTTAAATTTTAAGCAGTTATAGCTCCATTTTAGTCTGTATATTATTTAGTTTATATATTATACTTAGTGCCAATTTTAACAAAATTTATAAATTAATTTAATTTAACTCAAAGTATTGATTGCAGTTCATTAATTTATTATAACTGAATAGTTGAATAAAATACTAATTGGCAGATACTTTATTGACCATTTGAAAAGAAAAACATTTTTAGAAATTTTTAAATCTATACAGAAAGACTTCTTAAACTTTTTTGTTAAATGGTGAATTGGATGATGCATTTTGTAGTAACTGTTGTACGAAATTTGTGGTTTGTATTTTCTCAGTTTCAGAATTTGGTTTAAAGTTTTTATGTAATTTATCAGCTAATACTGAATAATAAGGTATAATTATGTTGAATGGAAACTGCGGCATAGGATATGACTTTTGTGTTTCAGAACTTTTATATGTTCTAGCAGCTGGATATAAAACTTCAAACTCTGTTTTAATGCTTGGTAATCTGTCGAATTTTGGGTCTAGTGCCCCAAAATTTGCTGCACCAAATTTTCCGTTATTGCTTACAACAGGGAGACCTGGATCTGGATTTTTTGATAAAGCTGTAATGTCAATTCCCAATAGATTTTCTGGTGACTTGTTTCTTTGTAGTCTTGGATATGATGCAGATCTGTGAGCTAATTGTGTTAAATCTATGAAAAGCAATTTCCCCTTTTCTTTAGAATTGACATTTTTGTAGAATTTAGAGTTTTGGGAAGTTGATTCATTCGGCTCCATTTCTTGTTTATAACTGTAATGTCCAGCTTGTATTTCTGACACAGGTAATTTGAGAGCGAGTGATTTTTGTATAACCATGATTTGACAGATTAATATTAGTATCATGCTTTTGGTTCTTTTCACCATGTCTATAAAGAAGCAAATGATAAATATTAGTTCAAATGAAAGCAACATATTTTGAATTAAAACATAATTTGTTCTTATATCTAGTATTGAAACAAATCCTACTCTTTCTTGAAAATAGATTCAACACTTAACCGTTATATTGGTATCTTGAATCAAATTTGCTGCAACTTTAATCTGATGTCAAATTGACCTATGCTTCCTTGGAATCATGTGTCCATCAAGAAGTGGAATCATGTGACCATGAGTGAAATTTAAGTATAGAAGTTTGGTTCAAATATGGTGCTATATTAATGTTACAACAAATTTAAATGATATTATGTCAAATTGACCCAGGCGTCCTTTCAAATTGAACCATAGTACCATGAGTGAAATTTACGAAGTAAAGAATTGTGGTTCAAGTTGGTGCCATATTAAGGTTCCAGTAGATTTAAATGGTATGTCAAACTGACCCATGCTTTCAAGTTGAACCATAGTACTTCGAGTGGAATATATGAAGTACAAAAATATGGCTCAAATTTGTGCCATATTAAAATTAGAACAAATTTAAATGATAGTATGGTTTAATCTGTTCTAAAATTTCTAAGAGTGTACATAAATGAAAGCAGGTTCATCCTGTGCATAAGATACCTGGAGCTGCTTTATTTTTGCCACAAATAGTTTTTAACTGAGTTCTGATCCGATTGATAATAATATTGTGCTTTTGTTACTTTCCACCATGTCTCAAAGAAACTAATAATTAAAGAAATTAAAATAAAATATATTTAATTAAACCATTTTGAATCTACTAGCAAATTTATACCTTATTTCACTACTTAAGCAAAGCATGCAATATTGACGAAGATAATTGAAAGGAAACTGAAAATATAGCAATCCATAACTTTATATTCTCGTTTTTCAAATTATACAAGTATGTAAATCAAACTTTATAATATCATTACTTAGTTTTGTTATTTGTTTATACTCACTATTGATGTGGATAACTCAGATGTGATTCACAGCTATGGCTGTTTATTTAGAATGTTGCTTCACTCCTGTACAAATTGAATCAATGAGTCCGAAAACAGGCAATTTTTGTAGTAATTCTGCTATAAGTAACTTTCAAATTCCTCTATTTTATTTCAATGCTTGTTAAAAAAATTTACCATTTGTAAATAATGGATTATTAACTTTTATTGCTGCTTATTTTTCAAATCTTAACTATTATGCTTATATTGCTGCTTATGTATTATCTATCTGTTCAAGCAAAGTTGTATTTCTTTTCACCATGTAAGTGAAATGAAAATAGTTTCTTTCAAAAGTTTTAATAATGAATCTGATTTTTCTTGTCGAATTCAATCTATTTTTTTTTTTTTTATTGGTAAATAATTTAAGATTTAAAATGCAATATTTTTACGCATAGTAAGATTTAGTATTAGATTTAATTTAAATATTTTATTATTCATCATTATAGTAGAATATTATCATTATAAATTGAAAATAATTAAGAAAAAATATTATCTTTACTATAAGTAGAAAAAATTATAGGAACTAAAATAATCGTTAAAAATTGAGAACAACTTAAAATTAAAGCACTTATGTGTTAATCTGTCTAATTATTAGTATAATTTTAAAGAATTTAATTTTGTTAATTTTCATGAAATTTTGAAGTTTGAAATTTAAAAAATTTTGATCTTATGTTTGATACGAAAATGTTCTTGTACTTTTTAGTTGAAACGAGTACCTGGGTAATTTTATTGTACTCTTAACTTGAGAATTTAGTTCAATCTATAATTATATTTTAGTTCAGTTCACAATTTTTGATTAAACTTATTTCATATTTTAATGGCATTATAAAATAAGTTCTTTTTTCCCTTTGAAAACCTTTAAATTGTCAACCTTTAATTGCAAGTCTTCAAGTAAAATTGAATTACATTAAACTTATGTTTTTATGAAAACTTTGCTGTAATTATAGGCAGTTCATTGCATACCAATGTATGCAAATAAACTTGCACTTTTTTTGTAGATAATGTAATAATATAAATACAGCTTAAATCAAACCATAGTGAATATGCTAAGTTTTATATTTTGTACCTTGAAAAATGGCTAAAAGCTAACAGTAGCAAATCTCCACTTAGCTTGGAAGCTAGCATCTTTTTTAAGGTGGTTTTATAATTAGGTTGTTTTCATAATTTGGTGCTATCAAAGCCAAATGAGCCCAAGTTGCTAATTAAAACACCAAGTAAAAGCATTAAACTAATGTTTTTATTTGCTGTCATTATAATTTCTCTCTTTGACGTGTTTGATACCATAATGCAAGAAATATTTTAATACATATATATAGAATTTTAATATTATCAAATGGAATTTTGATATTTTTTTAGAATTTAGTTTTTGAATTTTTGTTTCTTAAAATATTACCCAATCTGGTGAAATTATTTACAAGGTTTTCTTTTAAATCTACACGCTATTAACGATATTAAAGTAATACATGACATATCGTAGTCTGGAATGCGTAAAAATGATCGGAATTATGACAAAAGATGAATGACAATTTTCATCGTATTTGTCTAAAAGTGTAATAGCTGAAGAGAAAAACATTTTTTTTAAAAATGAGGGAACTGTATAAAAAAACATGTAAAAGAAGTATGTGCGTTTAATTACCTGAAATTGCGTAATGTGCGTAAAATTACCTGACCTTTAAGCAACAAAAAATTCCTTTTTCGATTTCAAAATGACACCTAATTTCGAAAATTAACCAATACAAAGAAGTTAATTCCTGCCATATGTTTATTCTTTTTTCAATTATTACTTCCAAAAATGAAAAAAATAACCTAAAATTTGAATTCTGTAAAGGAAATACTCTATTTTGTTTCATGCTTTCCAGAATATTCTATCAAA